TTTTCGGACTTTCTTTCAAGATTTTTAAAACGTGTCTGCTAGAGAGAGGTTTTCATACCCTTATAAAGAATGCTTCGTTCAGGGCCCAGTGTTCTCGCTAGCACTCGTTCCCCTCTCCAATCGATGTGGGATCTCACAATCTATTCCCTTCGGGCTAGCGTCCTCGCGGCACTAGTTTCTCTCTCTAATCGATGTGGGATCTCACAATCCACCTCCTTCGAGGCTTAGCGTCCTTGCTGGCACATTGCAGTGTCTGGCTCTGATACCATTTGTAACAATCCAAGCCAACCACTAGCAGATATTGTTCTCTTTAGGCCTTCCCTTACGGGTTTTTAAAATGCGTCTGCTAGGGACAGATTTTCACACTCTTATAAAGAATGTTTCGTTCTCCTTCCCAACCTATGTAAGGTTTCACCATCCACCCACCTTTAGGGCCTAGCGTCCTTGTTGACACTCATTCCCCTCTCCAATCGATGTGGGATCTCACAATCCACCCCTCTTCGAGGCTCAGTGTCCTAGTTGGCACATTGCCCGGTATCTGACTCTAATACCATTTATAGCAGCCCAAACCCACCGCTAGCAGATATTGTCCTCTTTGAGCTTTCCCTTTCAAGCTTCCCCTCAAGGTTTTTAAAACGCGTCTGCTACGAAAAGGTTTCCACACCTTATAAAGAATGCTTCGTTCTCCTCTCCAACCGATTTGGGATCTCACAATTCACCCCTTCAGGGCCCAGCGTCCTCGTTAGCACTCGTTTCCCTCTCCAATCAATGTCTTTTCCCTCTCCAATCGATGTGGGATCTCACAAATAGTTTATTTACGTTAGTGTTTGATTTGTGAGTATAATTTTTAGAATTAACTTTGAGTATAATTTCTTGTTTTGAAGGACAATTTAGATCATTTAGGACTACTTTTACTGTCATCTATGAACAAAAGTGAATATCATACCTTTTTCTTCACTGAGAATGTTGTTTTTTACCACTGGAAACAGGGAGATAGCCAACAATACGATCTTCCAGTGAAAGGGAAAGGTGATATTTGCACTATCATGTATACCAGTGGAACAACTGGTGATCCCAAAGGAGTGCTATTATCCAATAAAGCCATTATAGCTCTTATAGCTGGTGTCAAACATTTGCTTGCAACTGTTAAGGAAGAGGTGATCTCTGCTCTTCCCATTCCCTAACATAACTCAATTTTCAAGCTTGTTGATTCACGAGATGCATATATGTTCGTTGTTCTTGTTATAGGTTCAAGAAAACGATGTTTACATATCATATCTTCCACTCGCGCATATCTTCGACCGGGTGATCGAGGAGGTGTTCATTTTAAATGGTGCCTCCATTGGATTCTGGCGTGGGGTGAGAATTCATATCTTGATCTTTCCCTTTATGAGGCAAAGAAATTGAAGAACTTATATCATGTTCATGAGTTTTGTAGGATGTCAAATTGTTAGTTGAAGACATTGGAGAGTTGAAACCAACTATTTTCTGTGCAGTTCCTCGTGTTCTTGAAAGAATTTATGGTGGTGAGCATATGATCTGTTGCTTTTGGGTTTGATACTCATTTATCATGCAAGATGTGTTGAATACAAACCGTTTTAATGTTGTTTCCTCCTCGTTCGATATTAATAGTCTTTGTTCTTAGCTTCGAGCTAAAAGTTGAGCCAATGTGTAAAAAGTATTAGTGTAAGTCGAGATTTTGCTTATTAGATGGTGGATAACGTCGAGTTTAACGAAATTGTTTAGGTTTGAACCAGAAGATATCGTCGGGAGGCCTTTTAAAAAGATCGTTGTTTAACTTTGCATACTCCTAGTAAGTAAATTTTCCCTCTAAATCATTCATTTTTATGTTGTTTTGATGTAATGGCTAGGCCACTACTTCGAGTAGATATTGTCTTCTTTGGGCTTCTCCTCAAGGTTTTAAAATGCATCCAATAGGGAGACGTTTTCATACCCTTATGAGGAATGTTTCGTTCCCCTCTACAACCTATGTGGGATCTCACAATCCACCCCTCTTGGGGTCCCAACGTTCTCGTTGGCACATCGCCCGATGTCTGGCTTTGGTACCATTTGTAATGGCCCAAGACCACTGCTGGTAGATATTGTCTTCTTTGGGTTTTCCCTTTCGAGCTTCCCCTCAAGTTTTTAAAACGCGTCCACTGTGGGAGAGGTTTTCATACCCTTATAAGCAAGTCTTCGTATCTTATTGGTGAAAATACTTCGTTCTCTTCTCCAACCGATATGGGATCTCACAATCTACCCCCTTGGGGTCCCAGCGTTCTCACTGGCACACTGCCTGATGTCTGGCTCAGATACCATTTGTAACGGCCCAAGACCACTACTAGTAGATATTATCCTCTTTCGGCTCTCCCTTTCAGGTTTCCCCTTAAGGTTTTAAAATGCGTTCACTAGAGAGAGGTTTCCATACTCTTTTAAGGAATTCTTCATTCCCCTCTCCAACCGATGTAGGATCTCACAATCCACCCCCCTTGGGATCCCATCGTCCTCGCTGGTACACCGCCCAGTGTCTAGCTCTGATACCATTTGTAACGGCCCAAGGCTACTACTAGTAGATATTTTCCTCTTTGAGTTTTTCCTTTTGGGCTTCCCCTCAAGGTTTTAAAACGCGTCCATTAGGAGAGATTTCCATACCCTTATAAGAAATCATTCGTTCCCCTCTCCAACCGACGTAGGATCTCAGATTTGAATTCTTCCATGTTGTTCTATCTATATCTTTATCGGTGTACTTTTGCAGCAAATATAACCAAATGCAGAAGGGGAAAAAACATGAACAGGCAGCCACACTCTTTGATAAACTGGTCTTTGACAAGGTAAAAGGGCAAAAGACAAGCCATCAGGCTTCACTTCAATCAAAATCATCTAAAAAAATTTAAGAACTCATTCATGTTCTTGCAAGGATATGTTTAGGTGAAGAAGGGATTAGGAGGAAAAGTTCGAATCATTTTATCTGGAGCAGCCCCGCTCGCAGCTCATATCGAAACTTTCTTTCGAGTTGTATCGTGTGCTCATGTTCTACAAGGATATGGTATGTCATCCTTTCACTTCCATTGCCACTAAACAAAGCAAGCAGAGCCCAAATATCATACATTTCTATTGCAGGTTTGACAGAAACTTGTGGTGGAACTTTTGTTACACTACCAAATGAATTGCGAATGTTGGGAACAGTAGGTCCTCCAGTGCCTAATGTTGATATCTGTCTCGAATCAGTGCCCGAGATGGGGTACGATTCGCTCGCTAGCACACCTCGAGGTGAAGTATGTATCAAGGGAGATACATTGTTTGCAGGATACTATAAACGCGAAGATCTTACCACAGAAGTCTTGGTTGATGGATGGTTTCATACAGGTATTGCCTAATTTTCATGTCGATATTGCTCATGAAAAGTTTATGTGAGATCCCACATCGGTTTGAGAGGGGAACGATACATTCTTTATAAGGGTATGGAAACCTCTCTCTTGCAGACAGATGAAGCCCAAAGAGGACAATATCTACTAGCGGTGAGCTTGAGCTATTACAGTTTGATTCTTACATTCTTTTCTGTATCGTATTAGGGGATGTTGGCGAATGGCAACCCGATGGAAGCTTGAAAATCATTGACCGTAAGAAGAACATCTTCAAACTTTCCCAAGGTGAATATGTCGCAGTCGAAAATCTAGAGCTGATCTATGGCCTTGTTTCCGACATCGAAATGGTATGTATTCTACATCCTAATGGAAAACGAGTCATGGGCGTCCAAAGACGTCGTCATAACTTTAGCATCAAAACTATAAGATCTCACATCGATTAGAGAGGAACGAGTGCCAGCAAGGACGTTGGGCCCTGAAGGGGGTGGATTGTGAGATCCCACATCAGTTGGAGAGGAGAACGAAACATTCTTATATTTATAAGGGTGTGGAAATCTCTCTCTAGCAGACCCATTTTAAAAACCTTGAGGGGAAGCCCGAAAAAGAAAGCCCAAAAAGGACGACGTCTATTAGCGTTGGACTTGGACTGTTCTTAGTGAGACCGATAATGTTTGATCGGGATTGTTGCAGATATGGATATATGGAAATAGCTTTGAGTCCTTCCTTGTTGCTGTTGTTAACCCACAAAGGCAAGCACTTGAACATTGGGCAGAAGAAAATGGAATAAAAGGGGATTTCAATGCTCTTTGTGAAGACAAAAGGGCCAAAGATTATATACTTGGACAAGTCTCAAAGATTGCCAAAGAAAAAAAGGTCAATTTTTTCTCTCTTTTCTCATGATGATGAACTTGTTGAAAGTAGCTTGAATTGAATTCGTGGTGGTCGCTTTTGCAGCTAAAAGGTTACGAAGTTATCAAAGCGGTTCATCTCGATCCCCTTCCGTTCGATATAGAGCGTGACCTTCTTACTCCATCGTTTAAAAAGAAGAGACCACAAATGCTCAAATACTATCAGGTTTTTCTCGACAACACTCATAGTATTACTTTACACTCTATAGTTTCAGTGTTTTGCACTCTGTAAGCTCATATCGAACTATAAAAACGATAATGAAACTTTGAAACAAACTTAAAACGGAATATATAATATTAATAATCGAACTTTGTTGACAGAAAGAGATCGATGAGATGTATAAGGGTGGAAACAAGCCAGTTGCCTGAGGAAGAAGATTGAAGAAGGCAAGGATGTAAAGATTCATATTTATATGGAAGTTCAGCTCTTCCCACTTTTTTTTTCTGGTTTGCTTGGATGTTTATAAATATTTTCAAAAGTTTAATTAATATTTTTTAAAAACTTCACATCGATCCGTAATAGAATTTCTATCCGACGAATCGATCCAGGTCGGCTTATTTAGGATAATTTCTTAGTTTTTTGTCAATAACTTTCACCACCTTAAGACCGATATAGTTATGGCCACCATTCATATCGGTCACCGTTCACCCGGGCTTTCGGGGAGGTCGGTCATTAGAAGTTTGCCCTGATCATGCTGAAGAGAGAGAGAGAGATATCTAGCAAAGCTTAAGTTATAACATGGGAGATAAAATTATGTTGCAGAGATTACAACATGAAAACACAATGAAACAGAGAAATCTGTCAATCCAATTACAAAGAAACTAAATATACCCTTTAAAACAAGAATGAGTGAGCTGCTTCATTCTCAGCCATTGCCCTTTAAAACAAGAAACTCACTGGGTCAACCAGAGGAAAGAAAGAGGATGAGCACACCACCCTTTTCTCTTCAAAAAACTAAAGAGAAAAAACAAACCCTCGTCTCTTCACTCCTTTCTTCCTCCATTCCTCATTTCTGCACAGTTTTCATATCACAAACCTCTTCATTTCCTCTGTTAACCCAAGTTATAGCCTAAAACAGAGACGCTCGCTGCTGATGCAGAGTGAATATACACAAACTCCACACTATTCTGAGGACCCAACGAGCCCACCCATTTGGGGAGAGTGTAAGAATTCCCAGATTTCGTCAGCCCCCATAAGGGCCCATAAAGCTTAGAGATCGAAAGCCTCAGATTCCTCACTGTTTTTGACGATTTGTTTGTGAGAACAGAGGAATATCTGTAGTAAACTCTCCCTTTGGCCTTCCATGAACTGGTAATCCTCTGTAGAATCACAACAGGGCTCGAGGAAGAAGAAGGTTTTTGGGGAATTGGGTTTGGTTTGGGCGGTGGCGGAAGGGCTATTGGAAGGAGCTGATTGTAGCCGGAGTGCCCGCCGTGGAATCTAGCTAAGATGCCCAAAAGAGGGGCGTTGTTGTAAGTGGCTGGCTCTGTTTGTTCGTAGTTGTCTCTTTCATCGGCGAAGTTGTCGTAGGCGTCGGGGCCGCCTACGAGTGCTCCGATGAGGACGTTTGGATCGCTGGATTTCTTGCTGAACCAGGTGGCGTAGCCTTCACGGCAGCCAACAAATTTGGAGTCGAATTTGTAGGCAATGATGGAGGATCCACGGTGGTGGACACGGCGGGGGAAATTGTTGCCGTATCCCACCATGTAGCTTGTGGCTCTTGGATTGTCGCCAAGAATGTAATCCACCTGCTCAATTTCAAACATTCATGAATCTTCAAAATCTAATCCCAAATTGCTTCGTAACATAAACCCTAAACCCTAAATTTCATTACCACATTGATTATAAGGGAAAACGAAAAAACGCACCTGAGATTTAGCGAAGGCAAGTAACTCAGAGGGCTGGACAAATCCGGCAGGGCAGTTCAAGGAACCGGCAGAGGAGGTCAAGTAATCGGAGTAGACGGTGGCGACGAAGGAGGCGGTGGTAACAAACTGCATATTGTTCCATCTCTGCCGGAAAATGAGGCCGCCAGGGGTGACCTGAACGTTGCGGTTCCCTTTTCTCAGGCAGGAACAGAGGAAGGCTTCAGCCTTGTCCTGGTAGCGCCGGAAAACTGGAGCGTAGGCGCCGGCCTTGCCCTGCATGAGGAACTGCGAGAGGAAGGAGTTCAATCAGAGGGACTGGAAATCTGGGGAACAGATTATGGATTTAGAGAAATGAGGAATTTACTTTGGCGACTAGGGTCTGGACGCCGGCGTATTTGACGTCCCAGCTGAATTCCGTCATGCTCCAGCCGGTGCCGCCCATGGAGTCGCCGTTGTCGGCGAGGTATTTCAGGTAGTATTGGTTGTTGCTTGCTTGGTATAGCCATGCCGCCGCCCACAGCAACTCGTCCTATTAAAGTTCGTTCAACAAACATGAAATAGCTAAATTAATAATAACATTTAAAAGTTCAATAATACTTTAAATTTAAAAATAAAATATTTGTTAAATTTTTTTTTTTCAAAAAATACTATTAGAAATATTTTCAAAATTTTTAAAATGTTAAAAAGTACGGCTTCAACATTTTTTAAGGTTAAAATTGTATTCATCCTTAATATCATGTTTAAAAAAATATTTATATATAATTTTTTTTAAATAATGTTAATATTTAAACGAAATTAAAGATATTTTTTAAAAATTTTAAAATATTAATGAAAAAGTTAAATAGTATTTTAAAATAAAATATTGATAGCATTATTAATAAAATAAAATTTAAAAATGTTTTTATATAGATATTTTTATTAATTTAATGGGCATCTCTTTTTGGGCCTAAGCCCAAGCCCAATAAAAGGAAGAGAGGAGGAATAATCACATACATTGTATCCACTAACAGATGGGTAGTACTTCCGAGCTCCTGTAATACTACTGTCGTATTTGCCCCTGTATTTGTCCGCAAAATCGAACAGCTGAAAATACCGGGGAAGCAGTAGCTAACGGTCAGATTTTATTTTAATACAAGGGTATAACTGTAAGTTAAATTAATTTCGAGGGCATTAAGGTAATGTAGACACTGCCGCCGACACCGTACTTCCATGACTACGTGAACTTTCGCATCTTTATTGGATCATGTAAAATGGACGGTTATGATCACGGAATTACAAAATCTTAAAGTACGTGTACGGTCTCAAACCGCGATCCTAAATATGCGCCAAACATTTCCAACCACTTGATTAGAAAAAAAATATATATATATATATTATTTTAATTCAGTTTTCATAATTTTAAATAAACATACAAACCTGATAGGCGTGGGTGAGGAGCTTGTTAGCATAAACGGGGTTGGAGCGGCGGAAGACGAGAGAAGCAGCAGCCATGGCGGCGGCAGTTTCTCCGGCGAGATCCGAACCGGGATTACTCGGGTCAAGCCGGTAACCCTGGCGGTCAGTAGTCATATCCTCCGGCCGCTGCCAGCAGTAGTGGTCAGTGTTCCCGTCTCCCACCTTACGAAAAACCCACAACATCAATATCACATTTCAAATTCAAAAAACAAAATTTAGTAAAAACAGAGAAATAAAGATCGAACCTCGCCGTATAGAACATTGGGTTCAGTGTGAGCCTTAATGAAGTAATCAGTCCCCCATTTTACAGCATCCATGGCATGGCCAAGCTCGCCACTGGCAACCAATTGGGCTCTGTATTCCAAAATGCTCCAGCTCATCATCGTGACAGTGAAAGCCATGGGTAGTCCAAATTTGACATTGTCGCCGGCGTCGTAGTATCCTCCGACCAAATCCACCTGCAGAAACTCACAAAATGTGACTCTGTTTTTAAGCGAAATAAAAAGTAGACAAAAAAAACAGAGGATGGGATTTTGATTAGGAACTAACCCCACTGGCTTTGCCATCTTGGAGGCCGGAATGGGAACGCCAACTGACTCGCTGGTTGCGCGGCAAGATGCCGGATCTCTGAGCTTCGAAGAAAAGAAGGGTCTTGGTCAGAGCAGAGCCGTAGTCATGGGCGGCGGCGGAGAAGGGGATGAAACAGAGGAGAAGCAGAGAAGCCATGGAAATGAGGTTCGCTATTTTAGAGATCTCTGGGGAATGGGAAATGGGGTTTGTTTCTGAGTTGTTATAAGAAACTCAGAGAAATGCCTCCATTGATGAGCTTTGAAAGCTCTGTGGTAGTGAAGAGGAGGGATTTGGAGAAGAAGGGAGGTGGGGGAGTATATAATGGAGTGGAGAGTGAGGGAGAGAATCATAAATGCGATTGAATTAGAATAATATTTGAAAATCAGAGGCCTTTCTTTTTTAGCTTTTTTATGTTCATATGAACGTAAACCCTTGTGAAAGGAACAACGTCATGTGGGTGTCTCTTGCCACGAAGGTCGGTGTGGCTGTGCAAATATTAAACAAAATTTCAAATCTTTTAAAATATAATTACTGACTCTCCACGATAAAATGATATTGTCGCTTCCATTGTTATAATTTTCAACATTTAATATATATAATACATAAATATTATTTATATTTATTATTTTAATAATGATGATGATTTTCACTTTCAAAATAAGAATATTAATAAAATTATTAGACATAAGAATTTGATTGGACATTTTTTAAAGAAACAATAAAGATCTGAAAATAGGAAGACAAAAATAATATATGAAGGAATAAATTAATGTGCAGAAATAGAGGAAATTAGGAGGAAAGATTGAAGGGGAAGCAAAGATAGAACGACGGTGGGGTGACCTGGTGGTCTGACACGTACCAATGAAACAGTCAGTTACATGGAGATTTGTACAACAGTAAGTTAGATAGACGAAGATTCTGTGACATATCATGTGATTTTGACATGGATGTATCAACAAACATGGAAATTAATTTTTTTAATTTCTTTCTTTTTTGTAAGTAAAAAAAATCTTGCTGGAAAATTATTAAAAAAAAAAAAAGGAATTTAAATATGTGCTCTTCTTTGCGTGTAACTGTACTTTTGGCATTAAACAATTTATTTTGGTTGTACATATTAATTAAAATAGCTAGCTGTTTTTTTTACTAAATATTTTTTAAAATAATTTTTCATATTTTTTAACGAAAATATTGAATTTACAGTACAATTCCAAAAACAATATATATACTTTTCTTTTATTCTAATTTTGATTAACCTCCGATAAGTAGGATTTGTCAAATGGTCTTATTAATTTAACCAATTTGGGTTGGAAAGCTCGATGAGTCGAGTATAATAATCAATGGTAAGTTCAAAAGGCTCAATAGATACATGGAAAGCTCGTATAAGTTTGATATCTATGATTCACTATTAATCAACACGAGCATTAAGTCACCCATCTATTCATATAGCAATAACTAGTTGTAATTTATTATACTCGTTCACATCTGAATAAACTACAAAACATACCGAGGAGAGTCAAACCTAATGGAACACTACAACAACGTCATTGCATGAAAATTGGGAAAATAGAACAAAATATTTTATTTAAAAAAAAAAAAAAAAAAAAAAAAAAAAAAAAAAAAAGAAGCCCCCAAAAATTAAGGCATGAAATGAGGTGTGGAGTATAAGAGGCGGGTTTCCTGGAAAATGGTAGCTCACATTTTAAGGGAGATCGACCCGTTACCCATCATCTTTTAAAATACCCGACAACCCGATAAACCCGCTTATAATATTTTTTTATTTTTTTTTCCACCTGCCGCACGAGTCTTAAATTGCCTACTACCGACAAAAATAAAATAAAATAAAATCGAAATTTGAAATTCCTGTCAGTGAAATTAAATTGGAATAAAATTTAAACATTAAAATAAATAAAAAATGTATAGAATAAAAATAGACAATATTTATAAACGATGATCTTGAGTTGTTATAATACCAATGCATTTAACATTATGTTAGTGGGTTATAGCTCGACCAGCTAGTTAAGAAAATGATGAGTGGAATGAAAATGAGTCATGTGGGTATAGAAATGAACGTCTCTTTCTTGCCACCTCAAAATGACCAAACATGATGAAGTGAAAGAATGGAAAATAATTGACGTATACCTTTAAAATTCAAATATTCTTTTTTTTTTCTCAATTCATCAATTTTGCAAATAATATAATTCAAAAAATAATAACCGTACCCACCTAACTAACTACTTCACTTCCTAAGTACTTAGACAAAAATTGATTGGATTGAGTATTTCACACTTTATCTGACGTAATACAATAGTAAACGTACTTTTGAAAAAGAAAAAAAAAAACCATGTATCTAGTGATTTTTTCTAAATTGAAACGTCGAAAAATAAGTGGAAGAGATAAACGCCCCTTTAGTGACCCAATTTAAGACCTAAAAAATAAGCCGAGTCTAGCCTCCTAACTACTTTGACGAAATCTTTGTTACCTTCGTTTAACTTCACATCATTTCGATCTAGATAATATTGATGCAAATATTGTATTTAATAGTTTTTATTTTCGTTTGCCAATGATAGAATTAAAAATATATATATTTATTTACTCAAAAAAGAAAAAAAAAAGTAAATAACGATGTAATAATAGGAGCGGAGGAACAAAATTTAATTAGCATTAATGCCTAAATACAACTTTTTTTCATTATTAATTTTGGTATAAATTTGAGAAGCATTATTATTGCTATTATTTATTATTATTGGTACAACAATACTTGTCATTATTGTTTTCTATAAATTGTACTTCTAAAAATTAATTTAGCTCTTTAAATAATTATGGGAACCCACAAGAAACAATTAATTTTGGTGTCCTTTTTATAATTTTCTTACCTCCTTAACATTGTCAAGTCTTCAATGTTATTATTATGTATATTTAAAATTGTCCAACTAAATAACTAATTAGAAAATTGATCAAAAAATATATATTTTTTATTCTTTTAACTTTCTCACTTAAATGATATAAATGTTGGTCTTATCACTCAAATTTAGGGCACAAAATAAATATTTATTAATTTAAAAAAGTTCTATTCAGAAAATTCCTCAATTTTAAATAGTTCTAATTACTTGATCTGATTACATTTTTTTAATTATTATTAACTAAATAATAATTTGTCATATTTATTTGATAATTGTTTTTTTTTATATAATAATTTTTAAAAATAAATCTAGTGGTTGGAATCTAAAAAAAATAAAATTTTTAGTGGACTAGAAAGAAAAAAAACCATATATTCCTAATTTGACTATGACCCAATAATTTTTTAATAAAAAAACAAAAATAACTTTACTTAATGTTTTTCCACTTTTGTTATATATATTTTTTTAAATTAATTAAAATATATTTAGACATTTTTTTCGATATTTTATAAATATTCAAAAATTAGATTAAGAGTATACACTTTATTTTAATATTAAATGAAATTAGGATCAAGATAATCTACCCGTAGAAATTGAGACTTGAATATTATCGTATTCTATTTTTCATAAAATATGTTAATAAATTTGTGCTATAATTAGTTTTTAAATCGTTAATGATAGTGCTACAAATATATATATATATATATATATATATATATATATATATTTTTTTTTTTTTTTTCTTAATTTAATCTTCAATTTTTTTAAAAGAATTATACGACAACAAAAGGTCAAACCACAAAGCGGCTCTGTATGTCGTCTGACTAACTTTTTTTGCCATCATACGGCGTCGTATTCTTAAGCCACTCTTTACCTAACGAACGGACGTCCATGCCTCGTCGGATTGTACCAAATGATGTCAACCGTCGATCCGTGCCAGTGTGGGTCCACTCGATCCTCCTTAGAAAAAAATTAAAGAGAAAAGGGCGTAATTGGCGGTGATTTTTTTTTTTTTTTCCTTTTCCCCTTTTTTCGTACGTGGACGGACGCGGTAACGATTATGGTCATGTGGAACCACGTGGAAAAGTGGGTCCCACCACGTGTCTCTCCGGCAGTTCTCCGGCCACCGTAGCCACGTTCTCCGCCATCGCTTCCAACTAACAAACCACCATTTTTCTAAACACTACACAAATCAACACAATTAGCTGTTTTGTTTTATTTTATTTTATATATTTCTCAGGATTAATATAAATAAATTGCTAAAATTGGGAAGAATATGGAGAGGTATTGGATATGATATTTTGAGGATTTTTAGTTAAATTTAATCAGATGGATTTTTTTTAAATAATGGAATATCTTATTAATTAACAAAGTGGAAGGAATAAATTTATATTTTAAAAAAAAACCAATCAAAGGAATAATATGTCGTGTTGTATCATAATTATTGGATAATATATGTTCTGTCAATTTTAAATAATTGGGTCTGAATTTAAATAATTGACTAATTGGGAAATATTTTAAAAAAATTAAAATATTGAGGGTTCCGTTGAAAATTTTAAAATTTTGAGGATAAAATTGCTATGGGCCTGGGAGACCTCTTTTCAAGGGAAAACATCAATGGGCCAATAGATCTTTTAAGCCCATTGGTCAATATGATATTATTTTTAAAAATTAGATAAAATTTGATTTTTTTTTTTAATTTTGAATTTAATACGTTTGTAAATTTTAAACTTTTTGAATAGGTAGTATATATATATTAAATATAAAATTAAAAATTTAAATACATATTAGATATTTTTTTAAATTTATGAATTTGTTGATGCAAAATTATAAATTTAAGAACCGGACTAAACTTGTAATTAATCTAATTTATTTATTTATTTATACAAATAATAACTTATCTCAAAACTTTCATCAATTCCATGCAAAATTAAATATATTTTTAATAATAATAATAATAATTAGGATTAAAAAGTAGAAATTTGGTTGAGAGGGACAGCGGGGCTAGGGGGTCAAGCCGGTAGCTGCGTCGGTGCGGGCGGCGGACCAAGTCCACACCCACAACTTTCAAAACTAGACCATCTTCCTTCATTTATTAGTAGTTATCCGTTAGTCATATGATTGATAAACTTTTTGTATTTAATTTTGTTCATAAATTAATAATTCATCCATTAATAGAGGCTAATTCATTCATTTTTAATTTTTATTTTTTTTTTGTAATTTTCTTTAATTACAAAATTAAATATGTGGCTGAAATACACTTTAGCTTTCCATTTAATTCAAATCTATATCTAAATTCAATTAGAATGTAAACCTCACCCTTACAAACATGACCAGTTATATGAGATTTTACAATCCATCCTATTTGAGAGCGAGTGTCCATCGTGACACATAATCTGGTTTCTAATTCTAATACTATTGGTAACTGGCCAACTTGTTTAACCCATTGCATATAGTTGTTAGCCTCATGATTTTAAAATGTTTATGCTATGGATTGATAGTAATATCTCATTATTCTCTCCAACTGATATGAAAGTACTGATCATGCTAGACATTTGAAGTATAGAGACTATATCAATTCTTTTGAGGGGAATAAAAGATGTTGAAAAAAAAAAAAAAAGCATATTATTCATTTAGGCAAGGAAGAAAGCGTCTCCTTCCACATACAGCAATCAAATGAAAGCATGGCGCCAACAAAATCATCCGCGTGGCTCTGCAATTTATGAACTTTTAAAGACTTTTTCTTTTCCGTGTGTGAATCAATCTCTCCTACTTCCATACTAAATCTGACTTTTTCCATTAATTCCAAAAGGTACCTTTTTGTTTTTGGCCCTCAATCTACGACCAGATCATCCCTTTTTCTCCACTCCTCTGTTTCTTCATCACTTATAAATTTCCACTCAATTCTGTTTCTTCCTCCACTTCCAACAGAAACAAAACCCACAAACATAAAAAAGAAACACTAATGATTCAAATTCTCCTTTCTGGGTTCTAATTCATTTCCCCTGTTTCAGAAGCACCGCCGGAAAATATGAACACGATGATGAACAGAACGGATCTTCAATTCCAGCTAACGGATGTTTCAACGGCTCTTTCGAATCTGATTCTAACAGGCGGAGGAAATACATTGGATTCGATCTTCTCTCACTGCGAGAATTTAACTTCTGTGAACGATGGCGGAGATTTTGTTCGGCCGGTGGGGTCGTCGGTGTATCTCCAGCAGCAGGAGGTATTGAAGAGATTTTCTGAAAACGGTAATGTTGAGATATGATTCAAAGTATTCAAAAAAAAGATATGATTAAAAGTAATTGAGATATGATTCAAATATTCAAACCACACCGATTTTAGGAGATTTTAGAAGATGTTAGTAGATTTATGATCCGCATTCATCTATTCTATCTATTATTATCCCTTTTTCCAACAGATAAACCAAATGGGTCTCGGGATTTGTTTTCACGGGCGTATGAATTGCTATATTCGAGAAGCGGGGCTGCTGTGGGCGGCGGTGAGAGGAAGCTTTACAGAGGAGTGCGGCAGAGACATTGGGGGAAATGGGTGGCGGAGATTCGGCTGCCGCAGAATCGGATGAGGGTGTGGTTGGGAACCTATGATTCGCCGGAGGCTGCCGCGTACGCGTACGACTGTGCTGCTTGTAAGCTCCGGGGGGAATATGCGCGGTTGAATTTCCCGAATCTTAAGGAGCTGAAGACGGATTTGGGCGGCGGCGAGTTTGCGAGATTGAGTGGGTTGAAGAAATTGGTGGACGCCAAGATTCAAGCGATTTTTCAGAAGATTCGGAAGGGGAAAGGGAAGAAGAGTGTGAAGAAGAATGATTCTCACAGAACCGGCAGCGATTTGGGTTCCGGTTCGTGTTCTTCGTCGTCGTCGTCATCAGTGTCTCTGCCGCCTACGGCAGTGGAGTTGACGGATGAGTGGAGTTGGGAAAGGGTGCAGCCGCCGGTCGCGGCGGAAGAGGGTTTGTGGAACTTCGAGAACTCGCCTCGAGATGTCTCCACGGATTGTTCGACGGCGACGGCGGGATTAGAAACGGAGTGCTATTCATTGGCAAAGATGCCTTCCTATGACGCGGAGCTCATATGGGAAGTTCTTGCAAACTAGGATAATTTTGATTCTAACTATTATTTGTTTGAGACATGATACCTTGTTCAAACATGTGAACGTCTACATTAGCTATGTTCATAGCTTGGTTTCATTATTAACGTAATAAATATCAAGTTTTGACATTTTGTTCAATAATTTGGATATCAAAACGTCACGTTCCAAGAATTTGGTGTACATAGAACAATATAGTGTGGAATCGAGTTAAACCTAGCTCTAGTATTGGAGTTTGGTTGACTACAACAAAATAGCTCGATCCATCTCGTGTTTTACTCAAAATGCTAAAAAAAAACTCTTTCTCGTCATACTTTCTCTTCATTCCCATGTTTCTCGATGTTGAATATTCAACTTTGAATCTATGAAAAGTGTTCGACTATGAACTTGTTGAAGGTATTTAGCTGATAGCTTCTCGAACCTCGTCAACTTTAGTTTATCGAAGAGTTAGTCATGTTTTAATGAATTAACTCTTGGATTTATAGAGCTTTCTAGGAGTATATCGTGGATTTGGGCTTTAATGACATGGCCCAATAATTTGGATTTGATTTCTTTTATATATTGGGCCTAACCAATTTGAATTTGGGCTTTGGGTCAAATTGTTTGTAGGCCCAAACCCATTTGAATTTGGGCTTTGGGTCAAATTGTTTGTAGGCCCAATCGAAACCACAAGATTGGATTACTATGGCTCCTAAAAGTAATATTCATTTGTTTCCACTGTTTGGGTATCATTTCATTTTGTCAATTTTTTTTTAACAAAACGACAAAAAAAAAAAAAAAAAGAATAAATAAAAATTTAAACATATTCTGATTCTTCACTTACTTCTTCTGGATTCTGATTCTCTGCCATTTCCATTGATTAACAACTCCCAAATCTTTTCTCCATTTCCACCTTCCTTCGATCATTCTCATCTGCATACTTCCGATCATCTTCTTCTTCTTGAAATCCTTGCTTAATTCCACCGGAAAAGCGTCTCTCCGCTCCTTTCTGCTTGTTTTCTTTCCCATTTCTTCACAATGTTGCCGTTTTCCCTCTTCATTTTCATCTACTTCGCTACTCTTTTACCCTCTCCATTTGCCATTGCTCAGCTCACTACCTGCTCCGGGATAGTCCCCATGAATTACCGGAACGACAAGATTTCCATTACCGACTTTGGGGGAATCGGCGATGGCCGCACGTTGAACACTAAAGCATTTCGAGCTGCGATTTATCGGATTCAGAATTTGAAGAGAAGAGGAGGTACCTTACTTTACATTCCTCCAGGAGTTTACTTGACTGAGAGCTTTAATCTCACTAGCCATATGACCCTCTACCTCGCTAAAGATGCTGTTATCAAAGCTGTTCAGGTATCTAAATCTCTCTGAAGTTCATTGTGATTTCGCTAATTAGTGTGTGGTGTTAGATAAAACCTGTTTTACCGTTTTTCTTATTCACACGATTTCAGAAAATCGTGAGTTTGACCATTTGACAAATCACGTCGAATGGATCACCCGAGTTTTAGAAGGAAGTGGCACAGATTTAGTTGGCCACTCTCCAGCCAATTTTAGAATTCCTTTTTACTTTAAATAGGAAGATTTATTCACAAAATAAAACAACCTGAACGCAGTCAAATTCAGAGTTATTTTCTCTCTCCTTTTTGTTACGCATTTTCTCAATTTCCTCTCACCGAAATTCTGTGAAAACCAACAAGTGGTATCAGAGCCAAGTTGAAGATCGGTGTATATCATTGCAGAGGAGCCAACCTATCAACAAACAAGTTGAATAGCTCAAGTGGTTAGAGCGTTGACCTAACATCACAAAGGTCTCAGGTTCGAGTAGAAGAAAATGCAAAGTGTAAAAACACACACATCGTGGGGCCCATCTCGGGCAGGCTCACTCACTCCTCCACGCCGTCGTCGTGTGCCGACATCTCCATCACCGCCGCCACGAAGAGGGCGTCAAGTTATCGTTGAGCGGGTGATTAGGGAGACAACGACTGCCGTCGTTCAGTATCCAATATTGACAAAGTCCAATTATAACGAATGGATCTTGTTGATGCGCGTCAACCTACAAGCGCAAGGGTTATGGCATGCTGTTGAGCCAGAGGAAGGAGAAACGATTGAGTACCGTGAGGATCGGTTGGCGTTTGCTGCCATATTACGATCTGTGCCCCCAGAGATGCTGGCATCTCTCTCCACCAAGCGCACCGCGCAATCGGCCTGGGAGGGAATCAAATCCCGTCGGGTCGGTGTACAGCGAGTGCGGGAATCCAACATCGAGCAGTTGCGGAAGGAGCTCTCGGAGATCCACTTTAAGGACGGTGAATCCGTCGATGATTTTTCAATGCGGATCACGGGGCTCGCCAACAACATCACCACACTCGGTGGCAGCATCAGCGAAACAGAAATCGTGAAGAAGATGCTGCAGGTTGTCCCTGATCACCTCGAGCAAGTTGCGATTTCAATCGAGACATTGCTTGACGTGAACGACCTAACGGTAGAAGAGGTGACCGGAAGACTGCGTAACGTCGAGCAGCGGAAGAAAAATACCATTTCAGCTGTCGACAAGGGGGGTCGTCTACTCCTCACAGAGGAGGAATGGTTTGCACGTCTAAAGCTCCTCCGTGACAACACCGGCCAGAGCAACGGGTCCTCCTCCAGCCGCAAAGACGGTAAGAAGCCATGGATCTCCCACGGGCGCATGCGCGGGAAAGATGGGAATCAAAAGAAGGAGTCGACCAATGGCAGGCCAATCTGCTCGAACTGTGGGAAGAGAGGACACCTAAGCAGGAACTGCTGGAGCAAGCTTAGGAACAAGGAGAAGGCCGAAAAGGCCCATGTGGCTCAATCCGAGGAGGACGAGCCAGCTCTCTTCATGGTAAGTGCATGTGTCCCCACTCTCGATTCCAAATCCACGGAAATGGAGGTAATCAACAACGATGTTGAACTCGAGAAAGAGCTTCAGCTGGGCGTAGCAAAGGTGGCACCAGCTAGGGAGCCAATTCAACTGGAGGAGGAGCGAGTGTTCGCTCAGATCAGCGAGCGGGACGAGCAACACAAGGACCGGCGATGGATCCTAGACACAGGGGCAACAAACCATATGACCGGGGCTAGATCTGCATTCTCCGAACTCGACTCGGGGATCCGCGGGACGGTGAAATTCGGCGACGGATCCATCGTAGAGATCGAAGGACGCGGCACCATCCTATTCGCCAGCAAGGGAGGCGAGCATCGCAAGCTGACCGACGTCTACTTCATCCCGAGGCTCAAGGCTAACCTTGTGAGTCTGGGTCAACTCGATGAGACAGGCTGTTTCATCTCCATCGAGCGCGGACTACTCAAAATTTGCGATAATCAACGACGGCTGCTCACACAGGCAAGGCGCACGACAAACCGTCTTTACATCCTGGAGTTAGAGATAGAGCAACCTGTCAGTCTCTCGGCCAAGATCGAAGAGGTATCTTGGAGGTGGCACGCAAGGTACGGGCATTTAAACTTTCCTGCTCTAGAAAAACTACAGAAGGAGGAGTTAGTGCACGGTTTGCCAGCAATCAAAGGTGTGAACAAGCTGTGCGACGGGTGCCTCATCGGCAAACAGAGGCGCACACCCTTTCCGTCTCGAACATCCTATCGAGCCGATGAGCCGTTGGAGCTTGTACACGGCGATATCTGCGGGCCCATCAAGCCGGCGACTCCAGGCGGTAAGAGTTTCTTCCTCCTATTAGTCGATGACAAAAGCCGCTTCATGTGGCTGACCCTGCTGCAAGCGAAAAGTGAGGCGGCAGAGGCGGTTAAGTGCATTAAAGCGCGAGCGGAGGCCGAATGTGAGAAGAAGATGCGAGTGCTGCGCACAGACCGAGGCGGAGAATTCACCTCGACAAGTTTCGGTAAGTACTGTGACGAAATCGGCATACAACGGCACCTAACGGCGCCCTACTCCCCCCAACAGAACGGAGTGGTGGAGCGCCGGAATCAGACCATCGTCGGGACAGCAAGGTCATTGTTGGTGACGGCCGGGATGCCTGGGAGATTCTGGGGAGAGGCAGTAATGACGGCCGTATATCTCCTCAATCGGTCACCAACCCGAAGCCTTGACGGGAAGACACCATATGAGGCCTGGTACAACAAAAAACCAGCGGTACATCATTTTCGCGTGTTCGGCTGCGTCGCTTACATGAAGGTAACACGTCCCCACCTCGCCAAGCTCGATCCTAGGGGGCTAAAGGTCGTTTTTATCGGCTATGAACCCGGGAGCAAGGCGTACAGACTATATGATCCTGTAGGGGGGCGAGCTCACGTGTCACGCGACGTCGTCTTCGACGAAAGCACCTTCTGGCAGTGGAATGACGTGAACGAGGCAGACCATAATCCAAATCAATTCACGGTGAAGTACCTCGTCACCGAGCCGGAAGAAGGAGGAGCCCAGCATCAGCAGCCGTCACCGCCGCCAGCAGGTGCAACCCCTGAACCAGTGGAATTCGCAACACCACGGACTGCGGATTCGACGCTGGATGCCGATCACGATACTGATCTGGAGGCCAGGTACCGGAGGATGGACGACCTAGTAGGAGAAGGTGAACCACCTGGACTGGCAGTGCGCGAGCTCGAAGAAGTGGCCGAACTACATGCCATCAGTGCAGATGAACCGAACACCTTCGCCGAAGCAGAAAAGAACCCGTGCTGGCTGAAGGCAATGCAGGAGGAGATGACATCCATCACCGAAAATCAGACGTGGAGTCTGGAGGATATGCCGCCGGGACACCAAGCCATAGGGCTCAAATGGGTCTTCAAACTGAAGCGCAACGAAAAAGGAGAAGTTGTGAAACACAAGGCCCGTCTGGTAGCGAAGGGCTACGTCCAGAAGCAAGGAGTGGACTTCGAAGAGGTATTTGCGCCAGTGGCAAGGTTAGAATCTGTTCGTTTCTTACTTGCAATTGCAGCACATTACTCTTGGGAGGTTCACCATATGGACGTAAAGTCTGCTTTCCTTAACGGAGAGCTGAAGGAGACTGTTTATGTCCGACAACCACCTGGCTTCCTGGATAACAACAACCCCAATAAAGTATTGCGCCTGCACAAGGCACTCTACGGGCTTCGACAAGCTCCACGAGCCTGGAA